GAAAGAAATGGAAAGAAAGAATACTTGAATGGACAAAAATATTCAAATTTGATGAAAGATATGAATCTACACATCCAAGAACCTTAACAAACGCCAAGCAAAATAAACAAAAAGGAATATACCAAGATACAGTGTAGTCAACTTGCCACAAGACAAAGAGAATCTCAAAAACAGGAAGACAGAAGAATTTCATCATGAACAAGGAATCTTTAATAAGATTAACAGTTGATTTTTTTTCATCAGACATCATGGAGGCCAGAAAGCAGTGAGATAACACTGACACCTCTTCACACCTACTAGAATGGATCTATCTATCTATATATCTATCATCTATCTATTTTTTAAAAAATACTAAGTGTTGGAGAGGATGTGAAGAAATTGTGACCCTCATGCTTGTGGGTGTATAAAATGGTGTAGCCTCTGTGGAAAAGCTTTGTGTTTCCTCAAAAGTTAAGCATAGAACTATATATGACCCACTGTCTTAGTCTATCTGGACTGCTGTAACAAAATACTATAAACTGGGAATATTATAAACAACAAAAATTTATTTCTCACAGCTCTAGAGACTGAGAAGTCCAAGGTCAAGGTGCCAGCAGATTCAGTGTCAGATGAGATCCCCTTCCTGGCTCATAGAAGGCAGTCTTCTCACTATAACTTCATGTGGTAAAAGTGGTAAGGGTCTCTCTAAGACTTCTTTTGCAAGACTTCTAATTTTAATCATGAGGGCTCCACCTGCATCACCTAATCACCTTCCAAATGCACCACCTCCCAAACCATCACCTTGAATTTCAACATATTAATGTTGGGAGAACACAAACACCCAGCAATTCCACTCTTAGGTATATATCCAAAAGATATGAAAGCAGAGATTCAAACAGATACTTGTACACCAATGTTCATGGCATCATTGTTCACAATAGCCAAAAGATTAATGGATAAATGGAATGTACTATATTCATACAATGGACTGTTATTCACTTATAAAAGGAATGAAGTTCTGACTTGTGTTACAACATGGGTGAACCTTGAAAACATTGTGCTAACTGAAAGAAGCCAGACACTCAGGACAAATATTGTATGATTCCAATTATAAAAAATATCTAGAATAGGTATATTATAAATGGAGATAGAGATAGAAAGTAGATTAGAGATTATCAGGAGCTTAAGGAAAGTGATAATGGGGAGCTGGTCAATGAGGATAGATTTTCTATTAGGATGACAAAAGGGGCTCTGGATATGAATAGTGGTGATGGTTGCAACAGCATTGGAATTAATACCACGAATTGTACACTGTATGATTTAAATGACTAATTTTATGTTAAATATATTTTGCCATAATAAAAATGTTTAAAGACTGATAAAATGTCTTTCATAAAAAAATTAAATAAATAAGTAAATAAATGAAACGACCAGTAATTTTAAGACCCTAAAATATTTAATTTATTGAATCCTTACTCTGGGAATTAGTGTTATGTTTTATTCTACAGAGACAAGACAAAACTAGTTGACTGGCTAACCATTCACTATAGTGGTAAATATGATCAGTGTTTGGCTATCTATTCATGGAATAGACACAATTTTTCTGAAAGATGATCCAACTCTCACATATTCCCTGTATGAATCTCTCAATTTACATTTTATTCAAGAGTTTCTGATATAATATTGTGAAACAAAGGAACCTGACAGCTACAGCTGCTGAAAAAGGTAATTGTCACATGAATACTGCTAGAATGAGACATTGTTGTGTTACCAGATTTTTCCTTTTCTTTTCTTTTTTTTTTTTTTTGAGTTCGAGTCTCACTCTGTCACCCAGGATGGAGTGCAGTGGCATGCTCACAGCCACCACAGCCTTGACCTGTTGGGCTCAGGCGATCCTTCCGCCTCAACCTTCCAAGTAGCTGGAAATACAGGCATGCACCACCATGCCCGGCTAATTTTTTTTTGCATTTATTGTAGAGACAAGGTCTCACCAAGTTGCCCAGGCTGGTCTCAAACCCATGGGCTCAGGCAATCCTCTTACCTCGGCCTCCCAAAGTGCTGGGATTATAGGCTTGAGCCACTGCGTCCAGCCGTGTTACCAGATTTCTACCTTTTCCCCTTGATTCCTTTATCCTTCTCATACATCATAGTGATTTATTAAATATATATAATTCCAAATCATTTCTTAGTTTTTAGATAATCCCACATATATTAAATACTCAGTTATCTCTTTGCTGTAAAAGTATAATTTATCTTCTTCATGACACTTGCCATCTTTACAAGCTTAAAGTAAAGATGAAAACTTAAGAAGTTTTACACATTTGAGAGCTAGACTCATTTAATAATAAATTAAAAGTAAGTATGGCTTTCATTTAATGGCAGCACGAACTGCAGAGAGGTTTCTCTCAAGGTGGCTGTGAGTTGCCTTTTTCTTCTTTTCAACAGAAGCAGGATTCTATTAAATCGTGTTGGTAAATCATATTTAAAAGAATTACTAAACTGAACTGAGCAGCCACAAGATGCAATTTGGTACAAGGTGACATAAGAGACAGGTAAGGGCCTCTGCTCTCAAGGAGATTATAACTAAGAAGGAAAATAAGTCACAAATATCATATTCTGCATGAAATTCATAGATGAGGTGAAAACAAAGTGTTCCAAGATTCTGCAAAGAGAGATACTGAGACTTTAACGGCAACAAGTGTAATTTATGGAGTCTCAGAGTAATTATAGGGTCTGGAACAGCTGGGGCTCAATTTTAGTAGTCCTCCTAGTTACTGGAACCTGCTATTTCTAGGAAGGGAACATTCATGTCACTGCTTCTACTTGTGATAAAATGAAACCACTTTCAAAGAGAAGGTTCCTTATCCTAGTCTTCTTGGGTACCTTTCTATTGCTGCTGCCCAAACACAAAAAGGGAGAAGGTTCCTCCAAGATGATCAGAGCATCACTTCCATGCTCTCACCCCAGGCGCCCTCTGAGCACACCCCAAAGCGAGGCTAGGAGATGTTGAAAAAGACCAGCTGGTTGGTTGATAAACACCTGCTTTCCTCAGGCTCCACCTGAATTTAGCAGTGCATGAACTCCTTTAGCTGGCTCTGTCTGTTCTTTCTAAATATACATATTCCCTGGATGTAAGTAAAATATTAAATGAATTCACGTTAAGGAGACTCCTTAGGCTTATCAGATCTGCTGTCCTCTGGTGAGTGACTTAGGAGCTCTGCATTTCTGGTTGTTGCAGTAACAAAGTATAGAATGGAGATCAGGGCCTCACATTTCTCCAACTTCCCAGCTGGGCTTGAGGGTGAGTAGGGCCCTCACCTAGGGACATTAGTAAGGTGTTCTTAATACCTAGAGCGTATTTTCTGAGGTGTTTTCTTAACTTGTTTCAATATAGACCCATGAAAAATGTTAATATTACAGTTCTGCACTTGAGAGTCCTGGCACTCTTACAGACTTCTCCTGTTCTTCTGGCCAGGACAGCACACAATAGACCTAGAGGAAAAGAGACCCAATATATTCCCACAGAAACCTGAGAATAGTTCTGTTGCCTCCGTAGTTTCATAATCCCTTCTTCATTTCCTGCTTCTGCTGTAAATAATTTGCCATTTTTATAAGAGAGAGAAGGCCAGGCCCTTGTGAGTCAAGAGGATCTTGAGTGATGATGAAAGCTATGTATTTTACCCATGACCCAAGGACTTCTGGCAAGGTGCCCTACCTGAGCTGAGGTTATACCTTTTTCCCCTGTACACAGAAATGCCTGTCACTGCAGAAAGGTCTATTTTTGTTCTTGGAAATAAAGGATTTCTGAGGTGAACTCTTAACCCTTTTCAGCCTTACCAACTCCTTTGGCTGCGGCCATGGTCTTCTGATCTGTGCTTCTCAGGAGTTTAGCGGGCCCCTAATATAGCCCATGCAGTCCTCCTACTCCAGAGCACACTCTCCAGACTTCTACTGGGATCCAAACCCAGTATTTCACTTACTCTAGCTCCTACCTGCCCAAGGCCCAAGTCAGCCTTTGTCCAGTGGGATTTATAATCCAGTGCTTCGTAGTCCTAGGAGAATCCCTTATGGACAGTCAGAAACTAGACTGAAAGAAAGGCAGAGCCCATGACCATGTCCCAACCTCTACCCCTGGTAGTAGGTCCCTCGCAGTGAGCTCTGTGAGACATCTTATATGCTGCTATTGTGAGAAACGTGAGGCAAGGATCCACTTGAGAAATGTTAACTGCTAGGAAATCCCAGACTCAAATCCTTGCCCTTTGGGATATACAAATTGGGTAGAAGAGAAGAGACTGGTTTAGTTAAAAACAAAACCCAAATAAATCATACTTACATATTCTTGCTTTTCTCACCAGGGCTGGATTAAAGCATGTACTTCAAAATAAGAATAATTTAAGTCAGGAAATAGGTGTAAAGGAGTCCAGATTTTCCCATGAAGATGACTGTGGTCATTCTTTGGCAATCCGTGATTCTCTTTTCCACCTGTTTCATCAACTAAACTCTTCCCCTCCCTCTCTCATGGCCATGACCCTGCTTTAATGCCATAGGAAGTTTGAACTAAGTTTGCCTTTTAGGCAGGAGCAGTCATTTCCACTCCCCACACCTGCCATAAAGCATCTTTGTAAACGAAGCAAGTATAAGAAATATTTCACAGAAGATGTCACAGTATACGTTGAAATCCAGTGCTTTTGCCAATTCTTTTTACTTGAGAGCAGCTGCTGCTGCAGAATAAAAGAGTGAGGAGCTGCTTCCTCCAGGCAGTACCTGAAGGAGGAAAAGCCCTCAGCTGCACCATTCTCCCTGCTGTGGTGGTCAGCCTTCTGTCCTGAGGTTGGAGGGTCACACTCCTGACAACTGTGCTCAGCCCTTCATCCCACGCTCTTTCCCTCTCTCCCTGTGCTTCCGCCTCCCTCTTACGTAACCACGCCAGTGATTGGCAACTTCATCAAGCAATACTTGGCTCCCTTTATGTCAGATAACACTATCCAGGGAAATGGCTTAGACAAAAGAAGAAGTGCTGAGAGATCCAGTTCCAAATTAACTTTGCCACCAGGGTAAAGCGCAGAGACCCTCAGATGCACAAAATTTTCTTATAGTTACTTAGAAGAAACAGTTACTTGCCACACTCCTCCCCTTCTGTGTTTTTCAGTGAAGACATCGGAGGGAAAAAAGCAGGTGGGCATAATGAGAGTAAATACGGTAATCTATTCATTCGCAAGTTCAAGCGCTGGACTTGGGACTTAGGAGTGCCCATGGGTCTACATCTGACTTGGACTGAATGTAGGTGAGAGACAAGACTGGCTCATATCCGGGGAAAGCATAACCTGTGACTAGGCTGGGAAGAGGAAGCACTGCCTTTACTCTGGGAGCTTCAGCCTCCCCCTGCAAGCCAATGTTCATTCCCAGAAAAGCAAAAGACTAAGCTAATTCTCGAGTCTCTAACAAGGCAGCTACTCCAGCTATATTGCTCCTGGTTGTTCAAAGTGGACCTGAGGGAGAAGTCAGAGCCAAGACATTACCACCAAGCAGGTATGGTTTTACTTTCTTTCCCTTTTGCTGGAGGCCGACTGTCCTTCCTTCAGCTCCATGTGAAAGACATGCGAGAACACAAATATGTCTTATTTTTGAGGTCAGCATCATAGTGGGTTCCGAATCGTGTTGGCCTTGCTGCTCTCTCTTCATTTTCAGGTTGAAAAGAAGCATGAAGACAAACTTTTAACAGTGAGCCCCATTAGGGATGCTCCCTGGTCCTGTATTTGCCTCCTGGGGAAATAATCACAGTAGAGACTTCAATGCTACATGAATTATCACCAGTCATGCATACAACCAGTACCCTCTCTGTGACAGGGCTAGAGTCCCCTGACCCAAAGCACATCACCGTTTGCCACGGTGGGAGCTGGGAACAGTAGGAACTGGAAACAATTCAGTCTTGGTTCCACTTGGCCTGTTGGGTTAAAGGTGGCAGCCCCAGGGACAAGGACACAAGCATGACAGTCCCAGGGCGTCACCACCTCAGAGAGGGGTTCCTTCGATCCCTTGCTACACCCCTGCACAGCCCTGTGACTGAGTCTGCTTTGGACCAGTGAATTTCTAGCACTGCTTGTGAGAGGAGGCACCTAGCCCCATAGAACCGAGTCTTTCCACACGTGCTCAGTGCCACCAGGTCCGCCTTCTCCCATATCACAGCCCATTTTGGCTAAGGCTATGGCCAGAGGTATTGCTTAAAGGCCATTCCATATCTAGGACTGGTCAAGAGACACCTCTGAGGCCACCAAAGCTTGACTCATTGAGTCAGTGCAGGCATTCACTGTCCCCTTCCCACATGGTTTCTAATGATGTTACCAGAGTCTAAAATATTCTTTTTTTTTTTTTTTTTTTGAGTTGGAGTCTCACTCTGTCGCCCAGACTGGAGTGCAGTGGCCGTTCCTGACCACCGCAGCCTCAACCTGCTGGGCTCTGGCAATCCTTCAGCCTCAGCCTTCCAAGTAGCTGGAACCACAGGCGTGCGCTACCATGCCCAGCTCATTTTTTGATTTATTGTAGAGATGAGGTTTCACCAAGTTACCCAGGTGGGTCACGAACCCGCGGGCTCACCTCAATCCACTTACCTCAGCCTCCCAAAGTGCTGGGATTACAGGCTGAGCCACCGAGCCCGGCTGAGTCTAAAATACTCTAAGCAAGGCCTCAGAGGCTACAACTTATTTAATCAGTTGGTTAATAGGAAAGATTATTTTCCTATACATAACAAAATACTTAAATATTTTAGTTATATAATAAACTTGGTCTAAATCTGGGGTTGATAACTCACAGGCTAAATCTGGCCCACCAGTTGTTTTTATAAACAAAGTTTTATTGGAACACAGCCATGTTCATTCATTATATATTGTATATGGCTGCTTTTGCCCTACGTCAGCAGAACTGAATAGTTGCAAAAGAGACGGTATGGCCCACAAAGCTTAAAATGTTAATTATCTGGTCAACTCCCAGTCTAAAAGCTATTAACTTGCTCCAAAATTATTATGGAATAAACAAAAGATATCCACAAAACTGACTAAACTGATTTTTGTAGGTAATTACTTTATCATTTAAAAAGTAGCATGTGATTTCATGCACCTAGTAAAATGAAAAAGCATTATAGAAAAAGCTGCATTTTCCTTTGGCCATCCTGCCAATCCTAATCCCCGGTTCCCCAAAAGTAACTAGTATGATGTGTTTACTGCCAGGGTGGGCTTGTTTCTACATTCATATATGCATATATGTACAAACAAATATAATTGTTGTCATGTTCCCATTTGTTTTCCCATTCAATAACATGACTTGGAGACTTTCCATATCTATACAGAGCTCTGCCTCATTTATTTTTAACTACTATGTAGTATTTCACCGTGTACAATCCTTTTATTTAGTCATTTTCTTCTGGATAGATATTTCAGCGGTTCCCAATATTTTAGTCTTACCAATGAACCTTTCTGTGTATGTCTGCTTGTCCACATATGCCAGTGTCTCTCTAGAGGAGCTACTGAGAAATTGAATTGCTACATCATAGAACATATGTGGTTCAGTTTCTGATACTGCCAAATGGACCTCCCCAATGGCTATGCCAATTTATACTCCCACTGGCAGAGAAGGGTAGTTATTGTTCTCTACACCCTAAATGATGCTACATGTTTATTTAACATTTTATTTTTTTCCAATTGAATGAGTGAAAATGATAACCCATTATGCCAATATTTTAATTTCCCTGATTATTATTGAGATTGAACAATCTTTTTCTTTAACACTTGATTGTTGTATTTTCTTAAATCGCTCATCCATATTCTTGGCTCACTTTATATTGAGTTTTTTACTAATTTATAGGACTTCATTATTTATTCTCAATGCTTATCCTTTGATACACATGTAATAAATATTCTAAGTCCGTCATTTATTTTTTAACTTCGTTTAAATCATAATTTTTAGTCAACAGAATTTTTTTACTGCTATTTTGATGTAATTAAATTTTTTAAATTTTCTGCCTTTTGGATTTTATTCTTTGAGATAATTTGAGAAAGCTTTCTCAGCCTCCAAGATTATGAAGATATCTTGGCATACTTTCTTGTAATACTTTTATTTTTAAAAGCAGTTTTTAAAAACAAGTCCACCTGGAACTTTCTTCAGTGACTTATTCCAATACCATTTATTGAAAAGTCTATCTTTTTCCTATTTATTTGAAATATCACTTCTATCATGTACTAAATTTCCACTTATAGATTACTATTTCTGGACACTCTGTTCTTTTGTACTCTTTTTCCTATTCCTGAGCCAATGTTCACTACAGCTTTTACCCTTTATACTTGACTTTTTTCCCTAATATAATAGGAAATCTATTTTGTGTTTTGATATTTTTCCTGGTTACTTTTCTGAATTCTCTTAACAGTTATACAAGTTTATCAGTTGATTCCTTTGGAATTTCCAGAGAGACAAACATAGTTCCTATGTATAGTGAGAGTTTTGCTCTTCTCTTTCTTTCCTTTTTTTTTTTTTTTTTTTTTGAGTTGGAGTCTCACTCTGTCGCCCAGACTGGAATGCAGTGGCCGCTCCCGGCCACCGCAGCCTCCACCTGCTGGGCTCCGGCGATCCTTCCGAGTAGCCGGCACTACAGGCGCGCGCTACCACGCCCGGCTAATTTTTTGATTTATTGTAGAGATGAGGTCTCGCCAAGTTGCCCAGGCGGCTCTCGAACCCGCGGGCTCAGGCAATCCACTCGCCTCAGCCTCCCACATCGCGGGATTACAGGCTGAGCCACTGAGCCCGCTGCTCTTCTCTTCCTAATCTTTACAAAGCTTAATTTGTGGTGAGTCGTATTGCCTTTTCTGGGCTCTCTAGCATAATGTTGAGTAATAGCTATGACTGGAGATAGTCTCCAGGCTGATGCACACAGGTGAGAGAGTTGTACACTTCACAATCGGGGGGATGTTGTTAACAAACACTTAGATGCTGTAGGCATTCTTGTCATGTTTCTGATTTTAATCCATTTTTATTTCATATTGGAACGCACATTTCTTGGAACCTTCTCTCTGGGATTCCTTGAGGATGGGGTTGAAACTGGCTTCCTCTAGAGGATTTAGGGGTTGATGCATAAGTTAATAGCGTTTCCGGCTTTCCTTTGGAATGCAAACGTCACACAGTGGTTGACTAAGTCATAGCTCATTACATCTGATAGTTCTCAAGTTGACTGATGTGAATCATTGTGGGTTCAAGCATTTAAGGGTCTTCATCAAAGCCCGATGTTCTGCCATTCCCTTTCCCCAATGGCATTCTCCCTGTACACAGCTCAAACGTTTCAAGCCGCGTCCACTGCTACTCCTCTGTCAAATTCAAACAGAAGAATATTTCGGAAGGGTTCTTTTTCTCCGCTGGATACTCTTATCTTCTTTAGCCCACAAGTAGCACTGACTTTCTCAAGCTGCAAAATGCAAGGTGTATTCACAAGCACAAATGATCACTCCAAGTGACAAATGACAAACTATAAGCAAACTCCCAACCCTGCAATGTTGGCATGTCAAAAACGCTAAGAACTTGTGCATCAACCTATATTTGTTTTTGCCTGGAGACAGACCCAACTGGGACCATCATAAGCTTGGGGCTTACCGACCACACAAGTAGTGTGAATTCTGATCCAAACTAACAGCAAGATTTCAGGCTTGCTGTTAGGAATCTCAGAGAAAGAGTTCCCTTTTTTCTACCTAGAGCCAAGGCTGAGAAGTCCTTGAATTGCCCTATCTCCTACCTCTGTGGGCATCAAAATGAGGATGTCACCTCTCTGGGATCCTGAGTTTATGCTGAAGTCTATGACCTGACCATCCACCCACTCAGGCCCCAGGCTTCATCTCCTATTCTACCATTAAAACCCAGGCCTCCAGGAATCCAAGTAACCCCAGTGTAATCACTGATTGCCCTTCCTAAAGCTTCCGGCTTAGCACATTGTACATTTTGGCTTCTTGAGACCTCTCTTACTTTTCTATCAGCTCAATCCTATATTAAAAACAATACAAAGAAAAGAAAAGAAAAATCTAGTATTTTTAGGTGTGCTGCCCCAGGAGGAATCTCTCTGAACACCTTCTCCAGTCTAGTACCAGCTATAAAATCACAATTTTCTTTGTTTTATTTTAATTAGAATGATTCTAACCCTTCTCCAATAAGTTGCATAATTAAAGTTTTTGGTAACTATCCTGTAATCAAGTTAGTGAAGTTCACTTGCATTCCTCGTGGTTAACCAAAAATTTTAAAAGTATGAATGAGTATTGAGTTTTATTAAATGCTTTTCAGCACCTGTTCATTTCCTCATCTTATTTCCATAGCTAATTACATAGCTCATCCCAAACATGATGAAAGCAGAGATGATCCAATGGCCACTAGGGCACTTGGAATAAAGACCCATGATTTTTCCATTAAAAAGAACAATAAAAAACAACAGATTCAGAGAATGAGGACAACATTAATTCAAATTCTTAGTGTGGTTGCCATTTTCTGTTTGCCAAACCATCAGC